CTGTCCGTTAGAAGTGATGCTGAAACTTTAGAAAGCTAATCGACCTTCTGATTCACACTCGGCTCTTATCAGCCGAAGGCGGCAAGGTCACCAACACTAATCCAAAATGAGCTCCCCTCAGTTTAATAAGCTCGGGCAAAAGGACGGGCTTTGGTCCAAGTGCACCTCTGAGCATTATCTGTTCGCTCTGATGGGGAGAGCAGACCATAATAACCAGTGGGAGGCTGGGGTTTCGCTTGGCTTCCCACCTGTCAGTGTGTTTCCTCCTTTATATGGCAGATTCTTCACAGCATCGATTACAGACTCTTTAGTGGTGTGAGCGTTCAGATGCCACTCGATCCTGGGGTCTCCGCTGTACTGAGCCAGACCTGCGTGCAAAAGGAAGAGTGGAATTTAAACTACGATTAGGTGGTAACGTTTAACAGTAACTTAATAACAGATTACAGTCTGGCTCAGACTCCATCCTCCAAAAATCAGAAATCTTCTCACCAATCCTAGTCTTGTCAATCTCCACAGAAAACGCCTTGACCAGGTTCTCCAGGAAGGTCCTGACCAGCCTGAAGTTGATCCGCCCGATACTCCAGGAACCGTCCACCAGGATCACGATGTCGGCTATGGCTGGAGTCTTACACATAAATCCCGCTTCAGCTTAAAATCAAGAAGAAAACAGGAATTTAGAAAAGATTTTGAAGCTAAATCAGCAGAGGAAGGTTTCCCACCATGATGGCGGACCACAAAAACATTTAGCCTTCTGCCTAACATGTGACTGAGACTCTAAACAGGATCCCAAACTTCCACGGCAGCCTACAGCACATACATGATAAATCTGCACTGGTAAAAGTAGGACAGTTTGATGTGCAGCTTCTGTCCCAAAGTATTACAAAGTGTTTCATTAATTCTAATTCAGCTCAACACAGTCTAATTAAACCCTAGAGGAGCGAGGCGCTTCGTTTTAGCAGATGAAAAATAACAGCCCCCTCTGTTGTTTGTCTCAACAGTTTACTGGGTGATAAAACAGACCCGACTCTAATGAGGAAACAGCAGTTCATTTACAAAAGCCAGTGCAGCACACAGTGAGCCAAAGGCCAAGCAAATTAGGAAACAGACATATTTCTATCCACCAATTATCTTTCACACGGAGCTGAGGAAAC